AATATATATATATATATATATATATTTTTTTTTTTTTTTTTCTAAATTGAGAAATATGTGATGTCATCACTGTGTTATTTTTACCATGTAAACAGTGAATGAAAAAGGAATGTTACTGTAAAAAAATAAATAAAAATCAGCCTAAAAAAATCTGCAACACATATCAGAACTTGTATAGACTGTCAAAATTATTGGTATCGGCCTGAAGAAAAAAAACTATATAAGTCGATCTCTACTAGTTGAATATAAAGCACCCTCCCTTTGATACTTCACAGACAAAATTACCTTTTTTTTAAACATTTGTTTCATTTTACGAAGAAGTCAGTATCATATTAATTTACTATTCAAATCTTATTCTATGACTTCTTTTTTTACAAAGAAGTCATAGAAATGTTTTAAGGCTTTATTAAAAAAGGTTATGCATTAAGCAGTATGCTCACCTGATATTAGTTAGGTTTTTATTGAACATCTGATTTTGCTGAGCTGGAAAATCTCCAACCTTTAAACAAAAATAACATTGTTAAAAAATAGGAATACAGTTCGCCAAATATACATTTGTTAACAGAGAAATAAGCAAAGTAAGAAGTTCACTGGTTTATAGCAATGTAGTGAAAAACAGAGCCTATTGGGTGAATAGGGTTAAGAGTTAACATCTGAAGAAAGAGTAAAGTCTGGTAAAACTCAAACACTTGAACTGCTTTAAAGATTTTAAGATGCATATTAAAAATTAACAAATATAAACAAGAGAAAAATAGAAAGCTAAATTCAACACAACAGTATCTATCAAAATGTACTCATTTCCACAAATTTCCATTTTTGTTTTTCTGGATTCGAAAGATCAGAACAAACCTGTGGATTTGAGGAGACTGAAGAAGATGTTGAGTCACCTACACTCAACTGCATGCTCTGCAGTGACGAATCAGCAGAGTCCCTAAAAGAAGAGACACAAGTATGTCCAAACGAGTATAATTATATTATTCATTATTTAAGGCAGTTTCTATCTTGAGGTGCCTTACACTGTGGCTGATTGTGAAGATGTTTCATCTTCAGACCCCGTTGATCTAACAGACACCTGAAAATGAGTGAAGAATGCTTTAGTTCGCCATCAGCCTGAGCTTAATATAGGAGAATTAGAACTTCAGCTACCTTGCTGTTGAAATCCGACTGCTCCTGGAGTGCAGACCAAGCCTCCTTAGCTGCATTCTGTTTGGCTTCTTTGGCTGTCTTACCCTCAGCAACAGGGTAGTCCTTTGTGTCGATCTTTAATTTGTAGAAAAATCTGTATTGAAAGGAAAAATATCTTATTTTCTGATATTAAGTTTTCTATTAGTAAATATTACAGGAGAATATTCATAGCCAAAACGTTTCCAAATGAGAAGATTCTTGCCGAGGGTTATGAGGAGGTCCCCTTCTTTCTACTTCTATGTATGTGGGAGAGCAGTTTGTCTTCTGACAGTAGTGGTTGATGATTCCAATGTAGTTTGTCTCTTCTTTACTTATATTCAGGCTTGATGTCTTGTCACTGTGATAGAAAATATTCCATATAGATCAAAGAAACCTTAACTCAACAGCAGGGGTTTATTAAAGGGCATTTTTTAATTTACTCACCAGATGTCGGCTACACTTTCAGCTAACACCTGGCCCTGTTGACGGGGGGAGTCTCCAGCCTTGATAAAAAGTTTGGATAAAAATGAGACGAAAAATGCCTTGTACTTTTTAAGCAATTTATTAAGTCAGGTGACTCCAAACCTTACATAAAGATTATTAACAACACTAATAACTCATTGCAAAGGGATAAGATTTAGCTGGAATCATCAGGTATTGATTGTTTTTTTACTTCAATAGATGCCCAGCTATTTTTTTTCACAGAACTGACGGATTATCTAATGCAAAATTTTATTCATGCCAAGATGTTAGGTTTATTCAATGATGATTATAAAATTAATGTGTGTTCATATGAAACATTGTAAAAATGAGATGCTTCACTCTGTCTTATGATTCAGTCAATAGGAGAGCATCCTACAGTATCTTATGACCTGATCAACTGTCCTGTCAGAACAATACTCTGTTTGTAACCATGTGTTTTGTTCTGTTAATAAAAGATTACTGCAAGGAGGGGGGTCGGAGAGAGAGCAGTGAGTTGGGTGCGGCTCTGTCTCTCCTCCTGCAGGAAGCTGTTTGAAAATCCCTTACTGTGTATTTCAGTTCTTCTTTTACAAACCTACATTTTTGAACCTAACACAAGATATCAGTTAAAGGTAATTAAATATATGCAAAGTATGGTGTTTTTTCACACAGAAAAGAGGAATCTTACTGTGTCCTGATGCTGGTCCTTAAGCAAACATTCCAGAGCATTTTGGGCTGCAGCTCGCCTGGCGTCCTTCTTTGAGTTCCCTTTACCACAAGGGTAGGTCTTACCAGCAAGAACAACTCCCTGGGTATATCTGTGAGAAGAGAATGGCTAAAAATGAATTTCTTCAAAACTATTAAAAACATTTATTTGCAAATGTTCTTATCTATCTACTCAAATCAAGAAAAAATACAGTTATTTGAAAAAATAATGTTTCAATTTTTGGAACAGAGGCCAAAACAGGGGCAAGGACCAGCTCTATTGGGGCACTGGCCCCCTATTGACCCTGTGTAGAACCACCCATGCTTAACAGCTTTATTTCCACAATGATTTAAAGAGGTGTTATGTAATTTTCTAATAGTATTGCCCCCTGTGGCCAAAGCACATAACTTACTTAACAGCGCAATTTTATTTAAAAATTTTTTTTTGATGTTACCAGCTGAATTGACGTATGAGACAAGTTTGATGCACCTTAGTATCTACAAAAT